AAAAAAAAAAAAAAAGGGGGGGGGGCGGGGGGAACTGGTCTTGTAGGGCCTGAAAGACCGTGGTAAGGACTTTGGCTTTTGCTGCATTCGATGGTGAGCCGAGACCACACCAGTGCACTCCAGCCTGGGCAACAGAGCAAGACTCTGTCTCAGCCCCAAAAAAAAAAAAAAAAGGGGGGGGGCCGGGTGTGGTGGCTCACACCTGTAACCCAGCACTTTGGGAGGCCCAGGCAGGCAGAATACTTAAGGTCAGGAGTTCAAGACCAGCCTGGTCAATGTGGTAAAACCCCGTCTCTACTAAAAATTAACAATATTAGCCAAGCATGGTAACAGGCACCCATAATCCCAGCACTCTGGGAGGCTGAGGCAGGAGAATAGCTTGAACCAGGGAGGCAGAGGTTGCAGTGAGCCAAGATTGCACCACTGCACTCCAGCCTGGCCGACAAAGCAAGACTCAGTCTCAAAATTAAAAAAAAAAAGAAAAAAAAAAGCCGAGTGTGGTGGCTCACACCTGTAACCCAGCACTTTGGGAGGCCCAAGCAGGCAAAATACTTAAGGCCAGGAGTTCAAGACCAGCCTGGTCAATGTGGTAAAACCCTGTCTCTACTAAAAATTAACAAAATTAGCCAGGCATGGTAACAGGCACCCATAATCCCAGCACTTTGAGAGGCTGAGGCAGGAGAATCACTTGAACCAGGGAGGCAGAGGTTGCAATGAACCAAGATCGCAACACTGCACTCCAGCCTGGGTGACAGAGTGAGACTCCAACTCAAAAAAAAAAAAAAAGAGAGTAAAGAATGTGGTACAGAAAAATTTTGAAGAAATAATGGTTGAAAATTTTCCAAATTTGGTAAAGACATAAACCTAGAGATTCAAAAAGCTCAGTGAACTCCGAACAGAATGAACAAAGAAATCCTCCCACAGTTCCATAACTGCTGAAAAGAAAAAGAAAATTTTGAAAGTGACCAGAACAAAACAATGTATTACTTATAGAAGAACAGTGATTCAAATGACTGATTTTTATCAGAAACCAGGGAAGCTAAGAGAAAGCAGAATAGCATTTTTTAAATGCTGAAAAAGGGAAACATCAAGACAATTTTCTGCCCAGTAACAATATCCTTCAGTAATAAAGGTAAAATTAAAACATCCTAAGGTGAAGAAAACTTGAAACAAATTGAGGCCAGCTGACTTGCTCTAAAAGAATTACTAAAGGAAGATGTTCAGACAGAGGGCAAATAATACTAGAAGAAAACAGCTGTCCTGGCATAGCGGCTCACGCCTGTAATCCTAACACTCTAGCTTAGGTGACAAAGCAAGACTTCACCTCTCTCTCACACACACACACACACACACACACACACACACACACAACCCCAGCAAAGCAGTCCTACTGATGATAATGAAATGGTATAAAGGATAAGTCGTTCGATTTACATGCTACCAGGTATCTGAGTAGAAGAGATATGCAAAGCAGAAAACCAACCACGGGCCCTTCTGGGCTAAAAATACTACATTAAAAGTTATGTTTAAGGATGAAAATTTAAACCATGAGATTAAAATATAATTTCCCAAGAAGTAATGGGAGAGACGAAAAAGTCCATCATCTGAGAATCATGGCTGGTTAGCTTTAGGAAACTGCAAAGAGGACCAAAGTAGGAAGAAAAGCAAAAGCCAGAGTCAATGTGAAGCGGGAGGCAATAAATAAGTCAAATGGCAATAAGGTCCAGAAAAATCTGGTTCAAAAACATCAGCAGATACGACCAAAGGAAAAACTGGTAACCACATGATACGCAGTTTCCATGGAGGCATGAAAAGAGAACCCACACTTCAGGGAGCTGAGGACTGAATGTGAGAGGAATCTTATGTAATAGCTATGTGTGTCAATCCAGGCCAAACTCTGTACTCAAATATCCATTCTGACCCATTAGGTTCTGACCCACACTAGTTGTGTGACCCCTGCCTCAGTGCCTCATCCATAAAACTGGGATAATAGTAGGGGTTACCTCAAAGAGTTCGTATTTAAATTAAACAAGGCGGATGTAAAGCGATACTTGTCCTGTACATGTCACTGCCCAAGACTGGGAAAACCCATACATGCTTAAAACAGAGAAAAGAAGAGGTAGCTTAGAGATGGTGCTTTCTCTTTTATGTGTGAAAATATGAAAATACAGAAAAATTAAATAATTTCCTAAGATTACTAGGAGAAAGAACTCTGAGTCCAGAGCTCCACCTATCCAATTACAAAGGTATTTTGTAAGGGAAAGGCAGGAAATCTGTATGTAAATTCTAAATTATAAGAAAGAAAAAGTAGAATTCCACCCTCCAATAAAATCTGAGAAATAAACAGAAGAACAAAAGTATAATGGGATCCTGGTAAAAGTCACAAGATCAGTCTACTAAAGCAAGGAAACCAAAGGCAAGTAAACACATGCAGACAAAATATATATGGTGAAAAAGGGATAAAGAAAAGGAATTAAGAAACTAGCATTTTTAAAGTGGGGGAGGCAAATGCTTCCCAGCATGGGTTTATATCACTTGCTTTTTGGCCTTCTGAGTGTTGGTAACAACCTGTCATCATCACGCATACCTGTCATCTTTAATGGTATCCATACATTACTAACAGATTATACAGACGGCTATCACTTAACACTTCCACTCACTCAAATGTTCAACAAGCAAGGTTAAACTCTGTATAATTTTAAAGTTTACAAGCATTGAAAGGTATTGATATTACTAGTAACCAACTAAATGCAAATTAAGACATTTTCTTTACCTATAAAAACCAGCACATAGTTTTAAAAAAGAAATTCAGCACTGGTGGGGTATGAGAGATACTCTCATTCACTACCGGTGTTAAGTACAAACTGACATAAGCTTTTTGAAAATGGGATTTTGTATCCCAAGAGAGTTACAAATACGTAGATAATTTGCCCCAGAAATTCTGCTTCTAGGATTTTACCCGAAGGAAATAATTTGAAAAACTGAAAAAGCTCTAGGCATAAAGACAGACATTACTGTTTTTTAAAATAGTGAAACACTAGAAACAAATGTGCAACATCAGGGACATTTGAGAAGTAAATTATAAGGTACTTGAGTCAAATATCTCATAGCCATAGAAATATTTTCTAAGAATTTATAATAGAAAAAATGCTCACACCAAAGTAAAAGGACACATACTGATTATACATTTTAACCACGTTAGAAAAGTATACAGAAATAAACACTAGAAAGAAACAGAGTAGATTCCAACATTTGGAAAGTTAATTTATTTTTTTTTTTGGTAGAGACAGGTCTCACTATGTTGCTCAGGCTGGTCTCAAACCCCTGACCTCGGCCGGGCACATCACCTGAGATCAGCAGTTCTAGACCAACCATGGCCAACATGATAAAAACCAGTCTCTACCAAAAATACAAAAATTAGTCGGGCGTGGTGGCAGGTGCCTGTAATCCCAGCTACTCAGGGGGCTGAGGCAGCAGAATGGCTTGAACCCGGGAGGCAGAACTTGCAGTGAGCCAAGATCGAACCATCGCACTCCAGCCTGTGGGACAAGAGCGAGACTTTGTCTCGGGAGGAAAACAACAACAACAAAAAAACTCCTGACCTCAAGCAATCCTCCTGCCTTGGCCTCCCAAAGTTCTGGGATTACAGGCATGAGCTACCATGTCTGGCTGAACATTTATAATTTCTATTATTTGAAAATGATCTTAAAAGGTGTATGACTTGTGATAATGTGTAACTTTTTCTAAGGTATGAGTCTGAAACGTGCTAGTTGGCTGAAACTCAGCAGTAGGCCACTTGGCAAAAGAGCAAGCTAGGGGAGGAGAGGCTGAGAAGGGTGTGTCTGTGTCTTTCCTGTACAACCTCCCAGCGCCCCACTTTCCGAGGAATGAAGTAATACGGTAGAGATGGTGAGGGGGTGCATGATGGCTACCAGTTTAGGCAAGGTGTGACCAGTCACCAGTGAGTTTAATACCAGCATCTGAACATGGCTTTATTGTTCTGTACTCTAACATGAAAATCTGACTTTAGTTATACCGTATTTTATAGGGACCATTATATCCTATAGTGTTATTTGTGAATGAGGAGATTCACAAAGGTCTTAGAGTGTATTTCTTCAGTATACTGTCAATCAAAATATTAAAACCACTTAGGGCCAGGCGCAGTGGCTCATACCTGTAATCCCAGCACTTTGGGAGACCAAGGCGGGAAGTTCACTTGAGGCCAGGAGTTTGAGACCAGCCTGGCCAACATGGTGAAACCCCGTCTCTACTGAAAATACAAAAATTAGCTGAGTGTGGTGGTGGGCGCCTGTAATTCCAGCTAATGGGGAGGCAGAGGCAGGAGAATCGCTTGAAACTGGTGGGTTGAGGCCGCAGTGAGCCGAAATCGCGCCACTGCACTTCACTCCAGGCTGGGTGACAGGGCAAAGCCCTGTTTCAACAAACAAACAAACAAACAAAAACCCACTTAGATTGTGCTTTTATATGAAAATGTTTATTTTTCAGTTATACCTTTTTTGTTTTCTGGTTTTATTGTTTGAGACAATGGCCTAAAAAGGCATTGAAATCCAAAATAATATGCATTATCACTAACTCTTGATAATTAATCATAATATATATATTTTACACTACTTTTTTCATGACATATAGATTCCATGCATATAAAATACTTCCAATATTTGTTTTTTGTTTTCTTTAATACAGACAGGCTCTTGCTATGTTGCCCAGGCTGATTGTGAACTCCTGGGCCCAAGCGATCCTCCTGCCTCAGCCTCTGAGCCTGGCATTACACATGCACCTGGCTTCCTTTTTATATTTTTTGAATGTTCCACAGTGAAGAGGAACAAAACTAAAAACTAACTTAGCTCTAGAAGACAAAACATTTTTTCTTCCCTAGATCAGTTAAGTTACTGTGACAGGAATACCCAACCATAAGAACAGGGTGGAAAGCAAAGATCTGTGTCTCATGCTCACCTTATAGCACCTGTATTTATACAGAACCACCAGGAGGATAGTCATGACAACAATGACACTGATCATGATGGCCGCATTCAGAATTGAGTGCAGGGCTCTCTGGCCCACAGTCTCGGTATCTTCTGTGAATGGGGTATAGATTCTACAATAAAACAAACACAAAAGCCCTAGGTAAGTGTTAATGGAGATCCCCAACCACATTACCACCTCCAATACAGAATTTTCTTTTTCTCGATTCAATTCATATCTTATAAGTCACTTTTCCCCAACTCACCAATCTAGCTAAGAATTTTTCACCTGAGAAAAACAGTTACACTCTAATTGCTTCAAAGAAAGTATCTAACATATGGAAAGGACTTACATATGAACCAGACACTGGCTCCATCTAGTGGGTGCTTTATATTGAAATAATTATAATACCTCATCAAATGTTTTTTGGCTACAGCTTATTAGGAACTTGTTATAGAACCAGATTCTGCCACAGAAACCATGTGGGCTGACAAGTGGTTGTCAGAAGAAAGGTAATATGGCTTATAATTAATGCCTCTCATCTGTAGAGTAATTGCAACTGGAGTTGTCTTAAGATAATGTCACATATCCATCTTCCCCTTGTTTCTCATTCACAGAAAAACATTTTTATTCCAGGTGCCAATATTCCCAGCCAAAAAGACTTTACTTCTGACTCCCTTATATTTATGAATAGCTATGAGAACAAGTAATGGCAATGACTTTTAGGGAGATGTGTTGTGTATGGAACTTCTAAGAAAGGAGTGAATTCTGCTGACATGTCCTATGTTCTTTTCTCCCCTACTCCTTCCTACTGTCAGAATGAAGGCTAGCGCTCCAGCGTGGACCCTGAAGTAACCTAGAGGTTAGAAGCTAAAGAAGAAAGAAGGAGATTGAGTCCTTGATGAATGTGAAGCCACTGTACTAATCTGGACTGCCTACCTCTGCACTACTCTACGAGAGAGAAAGTATGTGCATTATTTAAACCAGTTGTTTTGATTTTCTATTAACAAAGTCAGAAACATTTCTATAAAAAATCAGCTCTGTGGACCATATGGTCTCCAGGGCAACCACTCAGCTGTGCTACTGTAGTGTGAAAGCAGCCACAGACAATGTATAAACCAAGGAGCATGGTCACGTTCCAAAGAAAGTTTATTCATAAGTTTGTGAATAACTTTGTTATTACACCTTTGTGGAAAGCTAGCAGGCAGATCTGGCCTGTGGCTGTAGCTTGCCAATGTTTGTTCTATAATATGTTGCCAAACCTAACCCTAACCTATACGGATAATATTGTTCAATCCCTCCAGTTCTAACCCCTGCCCTTCATCTGCTGTCTCAGATGCTCTACCAAAAGGCTAAAAGTTTGGTTTTCAGAACACCATGTAGTTTTTCAGACACTTCACAACTTCAAATTCTAAAACTCAATTACAACTCTTCTTTGGGCCCCATGAGAGTCCTAGAGATGGAACTAGATGACATTTGAATCAAGCATTTTTCTTGGAGGCCAAGGCTGACATCAGCAGCACCGGGGAATCCACATGACAGCTCCCCAAGAGTCTAGAGAGTGCTGGCTTGAATTAGTTATCCATCCTTCCAATTAACGATTTGTTTGGCCATTTATTATACACCTCACCCCGGAGACACAGTACCCTCACAGGCCTTGCAATAAAGAAGGAAATCAGGCATTAAATAAATAATGTAAATAAATATATATTTGCAAATTGTGACAAGTGAGAAAGAACAAGTTGCTATGAGAAAAGATACCAAGAAGGATCTAATCGTGTTAGGAGAAACAGGAATGTTATCTTTGAGGATTTAACATTTAAGTCAATGTTAGATGTGAGTTCTAAATTTCAAACAATATGTATGTTCAATTATTTGCCTTCTACTTTTAAACTTAACTTCCTTGTAAAGCAACCTTTTTTGATTACCTACTCCACCCTCATTCTGATCACCTGCTCCATCCTCATTCCAATTACCTGCTACCTGCCCTGCCCTGACTCCTGCCAAAGCACTCACCCCATCATTCTCTTTAAATTAGCCAATTGGAATTAGTTTAGCCTGTGCGGTCTAAGCCTAGCCAATAGGGGAACAACATAGCAGCAGGGACCACGTGTGTCAGCGTAAGAACCCCTTCCCCTCCCTTGTCCAAATGTGCGCTTGCCATTGTTCCATCTGTAAGGGCGCACCCTTCTATAGAGAAGTAACTTGCCCTGCTGAGAATTAAAAGGAAAATTTTATATTCTAGTGCTATTTCTTTTGCGGCACCGAAACTTTATACATAACACCAAGAGGAGAGGGATGACAGGAATTTAACCCACCAAAGTCAGAAAAGGAAAGAATACTCCAGGCAGAAAAGTAATGGGCGCCCAATGGCCCTGAGGTGGAAAAGAATTTATGTGTTCAATTCAACCTAACTTCAGTCCTATCCAGTAACACCATACAGGAAACATACTTCTGCAGTGTTCCTTTTCTCCACTTAAAACATCAAGTAATAACCCCTTGCTCTCTCAACTGCTCCTGACCATCACAGAGGATGGACTCTCTAGCTAAGTCCTGCCCCTCCAATGCAGAGGCCTTCAAGGTGATGATGATATGCTGTAAAGAAAAGCCACACTGGCTTTGAGAATAATAAAACAAAACTTATACGTACAGCTGCCCATCCTTCCGGGTATAAAAGCTGACTGACTTGATGGTAGCCACCACCACCACCATGCAGAGAGTCACGGGGACAAAGAGCATGATCACATGTTTGGCGCCATATTTCAATGTCAGCTCCTCATCTTCTTCTTCATCTTGCTCCACCACCTGCCGAGAGTTACCCTGGGGTCGTCCATTAGATAATGGCTCAGGGTGGCCAAGGCTCCGCCTGTCGTTGTGCTCCTGCCGTTCTCTATTGTCATTCTATAAGTACAAGAAAAACGTTTTCAGTAAATCAGATTCTCAGCAGAATCAAGGTAACGGTTCGACCTGAGATTAACAACAGACCCGTCACTACATGAGTTCTAAAAACCTGAAGCAAGAAAAAACTATTTACAGGAAGTATGCAGTTTAAAAGTCTAGATTATCTATCACTGTTCACTGAAGGCACTCAGGTCCTCTCTTTTACCTGGGTCTTGGCTTGCTCCATTCTCTCTGTTCATCCCAACAAAATACAATTGTACTTATCCTTTGAGATGTAGCTTAAAGACTGACACCTGCATTAAACCTTGTTTACTGGCTGCAGCTCCAAGCACCTTTTTCAAATTCAGCTTTCTGTGATTCAGACCACTTATGCAAGGAACTCTCTTACCCTAATTAATAAGACTTTAAAATCCTTGTGTCAGAGGCATTTGGACCAGAGCAACTCTATCTTGAATAGGGGCTGGGTAAAATAAGGGCGAGACCTACTGGACTGCATTCGCAGGAGGTTAGGTACTCTTAGTTACGGGATGAGATTGGAAGTCAGCACAAGATACAGCCCATAAAGACCTTGCTGATAAAACAGGTTGCAATAAAGAAGCTGACCAAAACCCACCAAAACCAAGATGGTGAGCAGAGTGACCTCTGGTCATCCTCACTGCTCACTATACGCTAATTATAATACATTAGCATGCTAAAAGACACTCCCTGCCGGCACCATGACAGTTTACAGATGCCATGGCAAAGTCCAGAAGTTACCTTGTATGGTCTAAAAAGGGGAGGGATCCTTAGTTCCGGGAATTGTCCACCTCTTTCCCAGAAAACTCAAGAGTAATCCATCCCTTGTTTAGCATATAATCAAGAAGTAACAGGCCGGGCGCCTGAAATCCCAGCACTTTGGGAGGCCAAGGTGGGCGGATCACTTGAAGTCAGGAGTTTGACACCAGCCTGGCCAACATGGTGAAACCCTGTTTCTACTAAAAATATAAAAATTAGTCGGGCATGGTGGCACATGCCTGTAATCTCAGCTACTCATGAGGCTAAGGTAGGAGAATCACCTGAACCTGGGAGGTGGAGGCTGCAGTTAGCAGAGATTATGCCACTACATTCCAGCCTGGGTGACAAAGCAAGGCTTACAAAAAAAAAAAAAAAAAAAAAAGTGGTAAGGTCAAAGAAGTGACATAATCAGCTGTTTCATTTTTAGCAAACTTGACTGAGTGGCAATGAATGAGATTTCTAGCATAAGGAACTAGCATTGGTAGAGATATGGAACACAGTAAGATAAGCAGACTGGAAGACAGAAGTACTTTAGTTAGAGATGTAACCAGGCAGTCAAGTCCAATGGCAGTTACCAATAGGACTTTCAAGCTCAGAAGGGTCAGAGGAAGTCAATGGTCTCTATAGCCTCAGAAATGGATGAAATCTCAGGCCTCAGAAATGGATGAAATAGCTGTGGAGGGAAAAATACAGTAAAAAGATGACCAAGGAGAGAAGTGTAAATAACCCCTAAGCTTAACCAGCAGGTGATGGGAGAAAACCAGAAAATGAGATTAAGAGAATAGAGGAGAGGGAAGAAAACTCAGGAATCAATATAACACAGAAGCTAAAAGTGGAGCACAAATCAAAGAGGTGTCATCAACAGTATGGCAGGATGAGAGCTAAAAAGACCCTGAACTGGCAATGGGAAGTTCATCAAGGGTTTTACAAAAGTAAAACAGTGAAGAGGAAAGTCGGGTTGAGATGAGACGGGATAACTCCCTTGATCCCCTCATGGCTCAGAGCGTGGCTCGTTTACTCGGCCACCACACACTCAAACCCCTTGCAAGAGGAAGTGTGCAAGCGAGCGAGTGAGTGTGGGAACCAGAGCAAACGAATGCAGGAACCAGTCGGTTGCTCCTCTCTGGCAGGAGCAGGCTCTGTGCAGGCCCGCAGCAGCATCCAAGTGTGTTACAATCAATGCTCCTTCAACTCTGCCATTCAGGGATGGCCAAGGGCCAGCCAGCTCAGTGGAGGGTCAGGGTGGCAGCCCCTGCTCTCTCCTCTTGGCACCCAGGTTCTCTTCCAGTGTCCAGGAATAATCAGGTCACACGAACAGATCGAAGGGTAGTGTATGCAGAAGATTTTACTGCGCGATGGAAGTGGTTCTCAGTAGGATAGAGAGTTGAAAAGGGGATGGTATGGGAAGAAGGTGATCTTTCCTGAAGCCAGGCCATCTCTGGCTGGGCCTATTCTCCAAAGCTGCACCACCTGAAGTTAGCCACATCCATCCATAGTCTCCAACGCTCAGCTGCTTTTCTGCTCACTGCTCAGCCACTTATATCACCAACGCTCAGTTGCTTGTATTTCTGACAATCAGTCGCTTGTATTTCCAACACTCAGCCATTTATATCCCTGACGTCAGCTGCTTGTATTATTCTGCCAGCTGCTGAAATCTTTTTTTTTTTTTTTTTTTTGAGACAGAGTCTCGCTCTGTTGCCCAGGCTGGAGTGCACTGGCACAATCTGTGGCTCACTATAAGCTCCGCTGCCTGGGTTCAAGCAATTCTCCTGCCTCATCCTCCCAAGTAGCTGGGATTATGGTGCCCAGCACCACGCCCAACTAATTTTTGTATTTTTAGTAGAGATAGGGTTTTGCCATGTTGGCCAGGCTGGTCTTCAACTCCTGACCTCAGCTGATCCACCTGCCTCAGTCTCCCAAAGTGCTGGGATTATAGGAGTGAGCCACTGTGCCCAGCCCAGCTGAAATATTTTTATGGGCACAGGATAGGGGCATGGCAGGCCAAAGAGGCAACATTTGGGTGGGGAAAAATGGGGTCAGCTGTTTTCACTTAGGGCTGCAGTTCCAGGTTTAAGGGTGGAATTTAGCTGGGAGCCCAGCCCTTCTGTATCAATGTCCTAAATCACAATGGGCTGGAAAATGATTGAGAATTGAGAAGGTAAAAGCAATCATTCTTCGAAGCAAAAAAAAAAAAAAAAAAAGGTGGAAGAGGCTTGCAATAGAGAGGGATTTAACTTGAAAAAGTTATTTTATCCAACCCCACTGGAAAGGAAGACAAAACCAGAAAAGGTTATTTTAGAGCTCTTAGAAACTTGAGCATACCTATCACGTCAAAGCGTAGACTGAAGACTAGAGGAAGAGACAAAGTGGGTATTAAAACTAATGGAATAGGGTAAGGGATAAAGGAGGGTGCTATAGTTTGAATGTTCCCCTGGAAAGTTCATGTACTGGAAACTTGGTTGCCATTGTGGTGGTATCAAGAGGTGAGGCCTTTAGGAAGTGACTGGGTCATGAGGACTCTGCCTTCATGAATGGATTACAGGTTCAGTATCCTTTATCTGAAATGTTTGGGAACAGAAGTGTTTCAGATTTTGCATTTTTGAATATTTCCATTATACTTACAGGTTGAACATACCAAATCTAAAAATCCAAAATCTAAAACACTCCAATAAGCATTGCCTTTGAGCATCACACTGGTACTCAGAAAGGTTCGGATTTGGGAGCACTTTGAATTTCAGACTTTCAAATCAGGGATACTGAACCTGTTATGTCGCTATCGCAGGAGCAGGTTAGTTATCGTGGGAGTGACTTTGTTACAAAAGCAAGCTCTCTCTTGCCCTTCTGCCTATCCACCAAGGGATAATCCTCCTCAGGTGCTGGTACCATATACTCTTGGACTTTCCAGCCTCAAGAACCATGAGTTGAATAAATTTCTTTTCTTTATAAATCACCCAGTCTCAAAAAGATAAAAAATAAATAAAGATACAAAAAAGAAGAAAACAAACAACAAATAAATAAATAAATAAATAAATCACTCAGTCTGCGGTATTCTGTTATAGCAATACAAAATGAACTAAGACAGAGGGGAACAAAAAAAAGACAGAGGCTGGTGATATAAAGGCATGGTGCCCTCTCCTTCAGTCTGGAAGTCAGGATTTCTCTTCAAACAGTTATGAAGACCCAATCCCTACGAGAAATGGAAAGGAAACTATTCTAAAGCATAAAAGGTAGAAATATCTATACCACCCATCAAGAAAGATTATTTTTGCTGAACACAAGTCACCAGAGTGGCTAAAGCCCAGTAGAATGGAAATGGTTATACAGAAGGTGAGGCCAAAGGGACCAGAACATAGTGTGATAGACAGCAAGAAGCAGGAGAATTGAGAATTCATACTTTTATTCTTCCACAGACGGAGGTGACTAAGTCATCTGCCAAAAAAGTTATATCTGCAATTGATGTTCAGCAGTACAAGTCTGAACAACTTGATTGGCTGATTAATGTTCACAATAAACATACAAGTAATAATAGCTATCTCTATATAGTATTTGATATTTACAAGGCACTGTCACATTATCTTACTTATTCTTTTTGTCTGGAGAAGTTTTGGTAAATGAACACAAAAGCAACTGATCCAAAATCTCACAACCAGAAAACAGCAGAGGTAGGAATCAAACTAAAGTCTCTTGCCTCAAAACTTGTTTTCTTTCTATGGCACCACAGCCATCAGTTTAGGTCATATGAACAGTTTAATTAGCTAAGTCTAGCATGAAACGGGCAATCATATGCTCATTCACGGTCCCCAACCGGATGATCTGGTTTATAATGAACATTAGCCAACTCAACCCTGCCCTACCCTGCCCTGCCCTGCCCTACCCAAGGCTGATAATGAGATGGATACTAGAACACTGTTTAACTTAACAGTAATATACACATTCACAAACCCTTCCTCTTTGTAGTATGTTGGACACTACTTTTATTTATTATTATTATTATTTTGAAGACAGAGTCTCATTTAGTCGCCTAGTAGTGGCACAATCTTGGCTCACTGAAACCTCTGCCTCCCAGGTTCAAGCGATTCTCGTGCCTCAGCCTCCCGAGGAGCTGGGATTACAGGTGTGCGCCACAACACCCGGCTAATTTTTGTATTTTTAGTAGAGACAGAGTTTCACCATGTTGGCCAGGCTGGTCTCAAACTCCTGGCCTCAAGTGATTCACCCACCTCTACCTCCTGAAGTGCTAGGATTACATGCATGAGCCACTGTGCCCAGCCATGGACACTTTTTTTTTTTCTTTCTTTCCGAGACAGAGTCTTGCTCTGTCACCCAGGCTAGAGTGCAGTGGCACAATCTCGGTTCACTGCAACCTCTGCCTCCCAGGTTCAAGCGATTCTCCTGCCTCAGCCTCCCGAGTAGCTGGGATTACAGGCATCCGCCACTGCGCCGGCTAATTTTTGTATTTTAGTAGAGACAGGGTTTCACCATGTTGGCCAGGCTGGTCTCGAACTCCTGACCTCATGATCCACCCACCTCGGCCTCACAAAATGCTGGGATTACAGGCATGAGCCAGTGTGCCTGGTCAGATACCACCTTTTTTTTTTTTTAAATGGAGTTTTGCTCTTGTTGCCCAGACTGGAGTGCAATGGCACGATCTCGGCTCACCACAACATCTGCTTCCTGGGTTCAAGCAATTCTCCTGCCTCAGCCTCCTGAGTAGCTAGGATATACAGGCATGCACCACCACGCCTGGCTAATTTTTTGTATTTTTAGTAGAGACGGGGTCTTATCCATGTTGGTCAGGCTGGTCTTGAACTCCTGACCTCAGGTGATCTGCTCGCCTCAGCCTCCCAAAGTGCTGGGATTAAAGGTGTGAGCCACCATGCCCAGCCCAGATACTACTTTCAAAACTGATTTTGTTTTCAGGAATGGTGGCACACACCTATAGTCAAGTGCAGCCCAGGAAATGTAGTGAGACACCATCTTTAAGGAAAAAGATACTGTTTTAATTTCTTTATTTAAAAAAAGTACAATTTGGGCTGGGCGTGGTGGCTCATGCCTGTAACCCCAGCACTCTGGGAGGCTGAGGCAGGCGGATCACCTGAGGTCAGGAATTCAAGACCAGCCTGGCCAACATGGTGAAACCTTGTCTCTATTAAAAATATAAAAATTAGCCAGCGTGGTGGTGGGCACCTGTAATCCCAGCTACTTGGGAGGCTGAGGCAGGCGAATCGCTTGAACCCAGGAGGCAGAGGTTGCAGTAAGCCAAGATTGTGCCACTGTACTCCAGCCTGGGTGACAGAATGAGATTCCGTCTCAAAAAAAAAAACAAAAAAAAGTACAATTTGGTGACAGAAGTGTTGGTTACAGACAAAAATGGCAGATTCATTGGCTGTCCAGATTTAATTTATGAATGAACATATATATATGAAAATAAAAGAAGTTCCTAAAGTATTTTATAGGGTACTCCAATTAATCAGAAGACTATGGCTGAATCACTGTATTTTATGGGTGAAATCATAGTGTGTGAAATTTGGAATTTAAAAGTCTCTAACTTATGTTATCATATCTTGGGTTTACCCCAGTGACACTGTATTATATAGTGGTAATTAGCCCAAGTTCTGGGGTCAGACTACCAGGATTTGGATTTCTCTTCTATATAGTGTGATTTGGGGCAAGTTATTTAACCTCTTTGAACTTCAATGTCTTCATCTGTAAAATGGTGAGAAAAAAGTATCTCCTGATAGAGTTGTAAATTCTACTGGGATAGTACTTGAAAGACATATCTTATGGTGTCTGGCACATATTAAGCATTCAGTAGTTTTACCATTTATTCTACATATAAACATTCCTATGGCTACTAGCAGGTGCCAAGGTATAACTGATCTCCTCTTAGGGTACAGTCCAGATGAAACTGCATATAAAATTCCAGACATTTTTAGTCTATCAACAGAAAATCATAGGCACTATGGAATTAGAAAAATCTGTTTCCCAAATGTTGATCTCCATCTCTGACCTCTCCCAGAACTCTATTCTAAGCTTCTCCTCTGTCTTCTCCATTTATCTCAGTAAACAGCAGTACCATTCTCCCAGTTTCTAGGAAGTCCCAAATCTACGAATTATTCTTTCTTTCTCTTCCTTAGTACCTCTGTCTAGTCAGCCCGCAAATTCTGCCAGAATACCTCCAAAACACCTCCTGGACCTATCTACTTCTTTCTATGTCCACAATCTTTGTGGTTCAAACCACTATTACCTGTCATTTGGGTTACTGTTAATAGGCTTCTAATTTGGTCTTTCTGCTTTTATGCTCCCCTAGTCCATTCTCCACACTATAGCCAGGATGATTTTTTTTTTTTTAAACAAAATGAAATCATGTCATTCCTTTAAAACTCGATTACATGGCTTCTTGTCATGCTCATAACAGAATCAAAACTTCTTAGGCTCGTGAAGTCTAAAATGGTTTGTTCCTTGCTCTGACCACAGACTGTTCCTCCTCTCTCCATTCCTTTTCTCAAACTGGCCTTCTAGTTCCCCACTCAGGGCTGGTTCACCTGGAATGTCCTTCTCCCACCTGACTGTTCCTTGTCACTCAGTTCCCTCCTGGTAGAGAGAGAATTTCCTGACTATCGAATGTAAGGAACCCTTTCTCTACATTGATCTGCTGGTTTTAATTCTCTGAATCGTACTTGTGATCATTTGATGTAGCTCCTGTTTGTTACTTGATTATTCATCTTTATCTCCTTCGAATACAAATTTTCTCCAAGGACAGCACAAGTTCTTGATCTTTGCTGGATCTCTAGTGTCTCCTGTACTCAATAAATATTTGTTGAGTTAATTAATGAATGATTCCTAAAAGACTGTTTGTGAAGCCTGGCTAATTTTTTGTAGAGACAAAGCTTCACCATGTTGCCCAAGCTGGTCTTGAACTTCTGGGCTCAAGAAATCCTCCCAAAGTGCTGGGATTACAGGCATGAGCCATCGAGTCCAGCCGTCTTGTACTTCTAGATTGGAGTTTTGGGTTTCAGAGATTTGTAGTTCACTGAAAATGAAGCACCACGTAGGTGTGCCTGGGAGGGAGTGTGCTAAGAATTCTTACTAAATAAAGTTCAATCAATCAAATGTTATTGTACTTCAAAAATTCTCCAGGGAAATAAATTGTCAGCTTCCATTTAAAGACTGTATTCTGTTTAAATGTGCTATTAAAGTA